TATGCATTTATATTGACGGTGGCAAAACACTATTTATAATTAATTTCTACATAATTTATTTTACCTTATAGTTATGTTTCTAATGAGACGGTTTATCTAACTATTCGTTTCGTGCTTTCCAAAAATTCTGTATATACATTATTCAATTAGACCATATGAATTACGGAAATTGTTATTAATAGTAGAGTGATAAGAAATATATAAATTTAAAAAAAGAAAAAAAAAGGTCATTTGAAATTGTTACCTTGTACATTGCTTTGATACAAAGTTATTTTATCATTTCAAGCAAATTTTTTTAGATATTAGTATGAAAATTAATATTATATAAATTAATAGTGTACATAGTCAATGATAGTAAATTTGTTTTATGTGCTGATCAATCATAAATTAAACATAAAAATAACGTATAACTTGAAATTACCTTTAATTTCCCAATTTGATTTTCCATCATTAACGATGGAATAACTCCTTAAATAATTCTTTTTCCCAATACACGAATAACTTGTTATTAAAATATTATTCTTTAATAGTAAATGTATCATTCAACATGATAGATTAAAGGCTAAATAGCAAGTTAGTATAGTAATTTATATTTTTCAATATGAATGCAAATTTTACAACTACAATTCAAATTTGTTTAATAAGTAAAAATATTCTACAATTTTGCTATTAATAATTAATTATTTCGACATTTCTTACTTATTTATAGTACATTTGTGAAAAATGAACAAATTACATATCAAATATAATTGTATTCTAGAGCAATGTGAGTTAACCCTTTTAACATCACCATCAGCCTCTATTGCAATTTTTTATATTATCATATTGAAATCCAGGCAAATTTGAAAAATCTATTTCTGTCATCATTTGTATGATTCGGCGATATATCTTTGTCCTCGCAAAGATTCGCATATAATAACAACAATAGATATAATTTTTATTATAAGTAAGAAAATTAGGGAACGGTGAATTTTTATAAATATCCATGCATATTTATAATATATAAAACACTCCCCCCCCCCTCCATAACTTAGGATGAACTTTACAATAACTGTTAATAATAATAGATAGTGCGTTATAACATATTATAATTAAACGATGAAAATAATTATTATTATCATAATGGATATGCCGTAAGAAAATTATTTTGAATAAATGGTATGATTTTAATATGAATTAGCATAAAAATTAATACACAATTTATTTACAATTATAAATATAAAAATGAAAACTATATCTAAATTGTAAATTAAAGGCCATTAATAAGATTAAAATGAGAATTGCTATAAAAATTTATTACACATTATTATTATCCGAAATAATCAAATATGAATAAAACATTGCAATTATCAAAGTGATTTCTATGCGCATTTATATACAAAAATATACTGCTCTCAAAATGATTTATTATTAGCTTAATGCAGTTGAAAATTTACGTTAATTAATAAACTTTTTCGTTGTAAATAGCAACAACGACGACACCGACGACGACGACGACGACGACGACGACGACGACGACGACGACGACGACGACGACGACGACGACGACGACGACGACGACGACGACGACGACGACGACGACGACGACGACGACGACGACGACGACGACGACGACGACGACGACGACGACGACGACGACGACGACGACGACGACGACGACGACGACGACGACGACGACGACGACGACGACGACGACGACGACGACGACGACGACGACGACGACGACGACGACGACGACGACGACGACGACGACGACGACGACGACGACGACGACGACGACGACGACGACGACGACGACGACGACGACGACGACGACGACGACGACGACGACGACGACGACGACGACGACGACGACGACGACGACGACGACGACGACGACGACGACGACGACGACGACGACGACGACGACGACGACGACGACGACGACGACGACGACGACGACGACGACGACGACGACGACGACGACGACGACGACGACGACGACGACGACGACGACGACGACGACGACGACGACGACGACGACGACGACGACGACGACGACAAGAACGAGAACAAGAACGAGAAGGCGAACGTGACGGAAAAGGAGAGTGAGAACAATGATGATAATAACAATAGTAATAATATGCATGTGAATGTTGAAAACGTTTGGAAACGGGATTCTGTCGACGATTCCGTACACAATGAGAAAGGCATACACGGTAATATAATATAGCTCGGATCACAATGACACTCCCCACCCTTGACAATAAACTTGCAAGAATCTTCGGCATCATTCGCGCCTCTCACCTCAGCCCTCCCCATAACACAATATCACCAAAGTTCAGCAATGGCAAACGCGACTCGACCGATCCCCTTTGCGTCCCTACCAGTAATTCCAGAAAACCCCTACCAGATACTCATAGCCGACTATGTTTATTCGAATAAATGCACGACTACCGGATAATCTAATGGGATTCGAATAATTCTATGGCGATTTTACAGTCCTTCAAAAGAATGCCAAGTGGATGCTTTATGGGTAGTCGAGTACCGCAGAGCGCAAGACGGAGCGGAAGAGACGGCGACGGAATTTTCAGTTTATCTAACGGAAACTTGTTTGCCTGGATTGAAATACTCGCAGACTCTCGGATCCGTTAATTATTATTTTATACCTTTATGCTTCTCTTTATCTTGCAATTTTACTGCTATTTGCTTCTATATATTTTTAATGTATCCTCGTTTAAGATCAAATAAAATTGTAATAAACCATGAGAAAGTTAAGCGATGTTTACATGCTTGTCAATCCGCGGTCTTACTTTCCTTGTGGAATTATTATTTACAGTTGCTCACCGGCGCCTTAAGTGGCAATGATAGCAGATCCGTCATTTCCAGTGGGCCGAGGAGGAGAGAAAGGAGAGGGAGAGAGGAAAATTAATTAACTACATTTTATTGTAATGACGTTTGAGATAAAAATTTTTTCGAACATAAGCCAGCTTTCATCTTTAAAACAAACAAAGTCCCGCGTCAATCGTTATAGACGACACATAAATAATGTCTTAAATATTTTTCACGAATGCGCGCCTTCCATAGCAATCGAGCCCTTCGAAACCTTAGGCTACCGTGAGCTACTGGGATGAGCTGTGACGTCACAAAATCCATTCGTCCTTCGATCGGTGCCCTAAAATTCGCGAAATACAAAAGCGACGCGTCTTCTTGGTAGGTCTCTTGGCCATTCGGGAAAAGCGAGCACTTTAAAAGGCTCTTGACTTTTTCTGGGCAACCGCGTGACCGCGCTTCGTCTCTCCTCGTTACATATTCACTCATTAGCCCGGAATATCCTTATAATAATAATCCTTGGCGGGGCTACCTTACGTATTTATTCCGCGCGTAGCGCACTGCCGTACAACCGTACATAACGCGCGTGTATAAGTACATGGTCGATGTGGTGCGCGCGGCGTTGAGATGGGAGGGGGAAGCGAGAGTGCATGAGTGAGTGCGTGTGCGTGAGATAGATATATATATATATATATATATATAGAGAGAGAGAGAGAGAGAGAGAGAGAGAGAGAGAGAGAGAGAGAGAGATGGTGCTGGGCGTCGCGGGCGTGCATAATTTGATTATGGCGCACGGTGGCCTTCTGCGCATCCTTTCATATTTATGACCCTCCGCAGGTGCTAATTTTTATTGCTTCCCTCGCAGTTTTGCTTTTGCAATAAAAACAGACGAGCCAGCATTTTCGGATTTTGAGTAAGCTCTGCGCTTTTTTCTCTTACTACTTTCAACTCCGTGGCATGCAGATTACGTTTACTTAATATGCACATATTTACTTGGGATACGCTTAAGCATTCAAATTTTTTAATATCGTTGGCATCGCGCGCCCACGGTTTCTACGTTGCGCCCATTCTCAAGAAAATTACTCATCGCACATTTCAAATAAATTCGTTCCATCGGGACTTTGTTCCTTTTTTGCCGTCACTGGGTACGTTAAATAAAGTATACACGCCTCGATTAGAACCGTGTCAGTGGACGAAGAAAAAGAAAAAAAAAGAAGAAGTTATAAATGTAAAGCCATAATGATGATAACAGTAAGTAAGTACTCATAAGTATTCATAAGACGAATAAGGATTGATTTTTTATACGAAGGATGTCTTCATTAATGCGATAGGGCGTTATTGCGAGATGTAAGAAATTTTCGAAATTAATATTGGAGATTATTTTTTTTTTTTTTTTTTTTTTTTTTTTTTTTTTTTGTAACCCGATTGAATTAATTAATAATAATTTTAAAGGGAAAAGTTAATAATGTGCAGATTTGGTTTGAGGGAATCCGTCAGCGACTAGAATTTTATAAATAACAGATCTGGAGCTTGAAGTGCGCCGTAAAATATACAAATTAGCGGGAATGTGTGGTTGGTTCGTTAAATCAATCGCAGAGCCAATTAGCAACAAATTATTGACGGTAAGTAATTGTAATTAAATTTATATCCTATTTCACAGCCAAATAATGACATTGTACTCGTAGAGATTTTGAAATAAACCTTATTTATTAGCAAAGTGCGAGAAAATATCGTAGATTAATAATGAGGTGAAAATCAATTAATGAATTAATTAATTAATGTAATTGTTAATTACAATTTTTGTTGTTGTTGTTGTTGTTGTTGTTGTTGTTGTAATTTTGTTCTTTTGAATAATTCAACACAGTATTATTTCAATGCTATGACTTATTGACGACATAGCTAAAGATGTAAAACACTTGTGCTGAAATAACAAATGAATAATATGAAGGTAGGACAGGCGTATTAAAAATTTAAATTATCGTATGCTCCGGAATTTCTTTAGCTCAGAGCCTATAGTCAATGTTCGAAGATTCATGCATAATAAAAGTTTACGTTTACAATTTCAATATAGAATTGAATATCGTCGATATTGCACAGTCCGAGGGCAAATCTAGCGTTGAAAGCGGCTTTCCTCTTTCATTTCATTTCATTTGCGTTTCTATTCGCAGTTAGTGCAGTGGAGTCGAGTGTTGAATTTCGAGTTGGATTTGACTCTGGTTGTTATCGAGTTTTCGCAAACATGAATGACTTCAACAGTGCTTACTGGAAATTGACGAAATTTCTGCAAAACTTTATTGGCGTCTGGCCTTATTCTAGCAATTCTAATGATAAATTTAAGCGTATTATGATATATATGGCTATGTATTCGTTAGCAGTTCCCGTAGTGAGTATTTGAACTTTTTTTTTTTTTTAGAATTGTGAAGTACGAGTGCTAAGCCATTACGTAATACCAAATTTTCCTGCAATTATTTTATGAAGAAAAAAATATATTAATATGTTCGTACAGGTTTTAAAGCTCATTGAAGAAGTCGAGTCGCACATTGACATTGTTATTGAAAATGTATTTGGTGAACTTTATATTCTGATTGTCCTCATGAAATATACTATGTGCATAATAAATAGTAATAAGGTAATTTTTATATTCATCTCATGTTGTTCGTATTATAGATAAACGTGAAAAATTCACCTTCCCTCTTTCTTAAAAAATTACTTAACACTTATTTTCTCCTACCTCAATCCAGTCTCATGTATTGTAGTGTTAATAATGCTCGTTTTTTTTTTTTTTTTTTTTTTTTTTTTTTTTTTCTATTCTTCAAAACTATTTTTAGCTTAAGAAAATTTATAAATTAATTCGAAAACATTGGACGATGACAACTGACAATGAGGAGTTACATATCCTGAAGAAATTTGCTAATGTTGGCCGACTTCTATCGATTACATATGCAGGTAAACTGAAAATTTCCATATTTAATCATAATAAATATTATAAATGCTGTAGAATAAATTATTTTATAATTGATTACCTTTTGAAAAGATAATTATATACGACACTATTAATATCAGCAAGATTTTAATTTTGTTAGCCAATATTATTGACTTTATTGCCAAGTCTTGGATAAGAACAATACATTTCTAAAAGAACAATGTCTTTATTTTGGGCAAATATTATAAAATAATTTATAAAATTTATTATCGGGATAGTCTGTAATTGTATTCATACAAAAGTTTAATTGATATTAGAATACTATTTAAAAGAAGAAAAATATACGTTTATAATATTAAAGCAAATATACAACAACAAAAAATTTACATTTTAATTATATATAATAATGATTACGTAATTTCAATAATCATATTTTGCAAAATACCAATATATATAAAAAGAAACGTTACAGTGTTCTACTTAGACTATTTGATAGAAATAAATTCATTGAACATAGGCCTAATGGAAAGACTTTGCAATAATAGTAATCGTACATTATAAATAAACAATTTTTATTAATAAAATTAAAGGGTATCCATTATTAAATTATATTTATTTTCACAACAAATGTCTTAACTATTTAATTTGTTTATCTTTTGAATCTTTTACATATATATATATATATATATATATATATATAATTAGATTGAAGTTAAAATGTTTAAATATCAATTATATCAAAGGATCAAAGTTTTTTGTTTCAGCGTCGGTGGTAGTTTCGTTATTATGCCATTAATTTATCCGTTGTTAAATTATATTTCGCCGTTGGAAAATACTACTAGGCCCTTACAGCTTCCTATTTATGTCCAATATTATATTGATCCACAAAAATATTATGCTCTATTGATGATTAAAATATGTGTAACGTCTATGTTTAGCGTCGTAGTGTGCATTGCTCATGACACAGCATACATAATGTGTATATATCATACATTCAGCTTATTTGAAATAGTAATGTAAGTATAAAACAAATTTTCATTCCATTACACACAGCTTGAATGTTTGATAGAACCGAATGATCTTAGTAAAAATAAAACGTTAATTAAAGCTATCGTTCACAGTCAATTTCAAGTTAAAAAATGCTATTCATTACGTAAATTATTAATAAGCTCGTTAAAAGAAATATACAAAGATGTATGAAATAGTTAAAAAAAAAAAAAGTATTAATTTTCTATTTAAGTAAAGTAGTTGTTACCCGTATAAGTAATTAACTAAAAAATATAAATAATGCAAGAATATAAAACGGTAATATGTTATTTTAATAAATTGACTCATATTATATTACTAACAATGCAGTTGCTTAGTTACCTTACCATTGGAGAATAGATAACAAAGTCTTATCGTATCGTAAGATAAATTAATTTTAATAATCGCACTTGAGTATGTTTAATGCTTCTGATCTTACTGATATGCTTTCTCAACAAATTACAACTTATAATTAGAATAAAATTTTAACTTAATTTGAATTTATTAAAATTCATAAAATTTAACGTGTAATAATAAGAAAGTGAAAACTTCAAAATAGCTTTTCCTTAAAAGCTTATTAGAAAAAAGATATATATTCAAAAGAGGGAATGGAAAATTCTTTGTATAAAAGAAAATAATTAAAATTATCATTTATACATTATCTATTGTACATAAAAAATCGACGGTGATAAGTTTTGTGCGTTAGTGCTAAGTATTGAAATGAAATATTAACAAAAACATCTACATATGTTTATATAAAATTTACTTTTAAAGCGAAATTTATTACGAAATCTTCGATATTATTAAACTATTTGAATGTATTTATATTTCTTAAATTGCCGATTTACATGTTAATAGACCCTACTAATTATTATCAGCTGAGATCAGAGAAAGACAATTCATATTTATAATAATTTTTTAATGCCCAGGTAATGTGTATAAATTTTTATTCTGCGCATATAAAATTTTAGTACTTTCGTCGATGGCTTATTTAATTTGCTTTTTGAAATAATATTTATAAATGCAATAGTAACATTTACGATTATACTAAAATATACTGGATAATATTGAGTCATTTTTCGGAAAACAGTAAGGCCACATGTCATTTAGTATAAAAGAATTTCAAATTCAAAATATTTAAAGGATCATCCATTATATAGAGTTGCGAATGTATTAGAATAGCAGGTATCCTAATACCAGCGATTCAAACATTCCTTTTCTCCTCCCTTTTCCAGCAATATAATTTTTACTATCCTCACAAATAAAATCCTATACAAAGGATTGTTCCTTTGTGTCAGAAATTTGTGATCTTTGAATCTTCATCTTGGATATTCAAGGTGCAGTTATAAAACATTCTTGCCGATTCTTTAGAAAATATTTCATTAAGCCATTATTAGTATAATAAAGTATTATATTGAGGTAAAAATAAATTGATAATATCGATTAACGTAGAAATTTTCATATTATGTTCAAATTCCAACAATCTCACATACGCATTCATTTCTAATTCACAAATCTTCTTTATACTATTATAAAGGGCAATAATAATAATTCACTTGGTTTTTTTCTCAGCATGTGGATAGAAGAGTCACATGCCGAAAGGCAATATTAATTACTTCGACATACTAATATTCGAGAATATTCCTATGAATGCTAATAATAATATTGTTAAATAACTATATAAATAAATTTATTATAACAGTTTACGGCTACAAAGGCTTGCGGACATGTGTTACGATATCGAAACGTCTAAGCATTCCATAAACTTTGATTATAAAGTATACCATCGTATTATCAAATCAATTGATCTGCATCAATCAATCATAGAGTAAGGCAAATATTTAAATTCCTTGAAGAATTAATAATTTAATTTTATAATTTTATACAATAATATATATTTACCAATAGGAATATTCAATGCATTGAAAAGGCATTTACTATAAATTTGTTTATCACGGTTATTGCAAATACAGCCGCCACAGGAGGTGGACTTTTTGTAGTAATGAAAATAATTAATTTTTTGTTTTTTTTTTTTCTTCAAATTATACCGATTACACTACACGTCGTATTATATTATTTATAATCATGAATTATATATATAAAAAATAAAAAAAAATAAATACATTAATTTAAACGTATAAATTGCACAGGTTTTTATGAAATTATCATCCCCAATAGATCTGGTCAGATATGGATTGTTTGTAACAGTTATAAGTGTCCACAAATACTTTATGTTCTTACCAGGTCAAACGATTATAAATTACAGCCTCCTCGTATTTAGACTTTGGTAATAAAAATAATTTGAAATTTATTGAAATTATTGTGTACGCCTTAACGCGCCATTAGATCTATAATAATTAATTTCTGCAATATATTTGTTTAGTTACGCCTGTAGGTGGTATAATTTCTCACTAAAATGTAAAATATTGATACAAATTATGATGGCTAGAAGTCAGCAGCCATGCTATCTAACGGGTGGGAAAGTATTCATTCTATGTTTGGAAACATATTCAGCAGTACGATAACGTTCAAATGTTGCTATTGCATATTCAATGTTTTTACAAATGAGCTGACAATTTAATTATATCTTTATCGTTTTAGCTGATGAAGAAAGGCATATCATTTTTCACTATATTTGTTAGCATCCAAAAAAAATAATAAAATCAACCATATGCCTAACTTGTGGATCGCACGATGATCTTCTATCATACTCTTTATGTATATTAAACCAATAAATAAACTAAAAATTTTTCTGTTTTTCCGAATACTTTCATTTAAAATGCCCAGCGACTAATTAATATGAAACCATATGGCCATTAATTATTTATATATGACAATTGCAATAGACGATGATAGAATTTTTAAATAAAATGTGTTATACAAATAATTCTTTTCACCAGCATCGATTATATATGCATATAGAATGTGTTAAAATTCCAGAATAACACTTGCACGCACAGTTTCAATGATATATTACGAGTAAACTGAGAAATTACTCTAAATTTCATCCGATTAAAATTAAATGATATGAATTTCAATTGAAATAATACGTTCATCGTTAAAAAGGAGGCAGACAGCGCATGATAATTTGAAATGATGACGAAACGAAGGTAACAAATGACAGTTTGCAGGGAAATAATTTAAATGTATGCATTATTAGGAGAATTCTAGCTCAAGAATTCTTCAATTTTCTAATGTACATTATCCCAATATCCACTCACTAATGCTTTGGCATGTTATATATTACATCAATTAAGCAATACAATGTTAACATACGTGTGATATGTTTTTAAAACAGGTTTGTAGAATGCATATGAACATAAAATATTAAATACATAATTTGATTTATATCAAGGCTCTTTTATCAAAGCATCGTGTAGAGGAGAAACCGATTGCGCCTTGAATATAAAATATTTTATTCTTATCCATCGACCATCCGTCATTATAATTATAAGTTATAACGTTCAATTAGTTGCTCCATCGTTTCATTTGAAAGGATAATTCTATTAATTTTATTTACAGATCTACGACTTAATTCGAACGAACATCTTTGGCTTAATAAAGGGCACGAAAAATTCTCATACAAAAATTATATTCACATTTATCTATTTAAAAAAGCCTGCCTATCCTTCTTCTTAATAGATTAATGTCAATATTATAAGTAAAGCTAAACGTACGGATTAATAATAAATTAAAACAGCTGTAGGGTAAAAGTTGCCAACGTGTATGTAAGAAAGAAAAAGAAAAAGAAAAAGAATGCCAATAATAGTTTAAATTTATATTACTTATGAAAATCTAATTTACAGCTAAAACTAATCTATTATTCCTGCAGTAATAGCGATCTAAAATTTATTACACGTTTTGATTGAATTTTCTAAGTTTTTTCAATAAATATCCATTATTTAATTCGAATATCTACCGTACGGTTATTTGAACGAATGATATAAAAAAATATCAATGCAATAAATATCAAATTGACTAAGCCTACATAAAAAAAAAAAAAATCTTAAATTTTTTTTTTTTAATTTGAATTTATAATATTTTTAATTATAATATAAATATTATGTATTACATCGAGTATTGAATATTACATAGCTAAAATTATAAAAGCAATAATTGATAAAAGTTATAATTGATTTTTCAAGTAATTTGCTAATTATATGAATCGATTATGGAATTTTGGAAGCGTTGAATTGCTTCTCTTTTTTTTCAGTTTAATTTATAAATATTCAAGGGAAATTCCATCGAACCATAAAACTTTCAATGCATATATAAATTAATTTTGAAGCGTACATTTTTATGGATATTGGACAAATTGTATGGCTTTCTTTTCTGGGATATCGTATTCTACAATATAATAATATTTACTAATTTTAAAATTGTGAAATTGCGTTGCTGATTTCTTTAGATAAAGCATCATACATTTAATATATAATATACAAAGTTTTAAACATTAAATTATTATTAACATTTGAAGGAAAACTTAAATACCAAAAAAAAAAAAAAATATATATATATATATATATATATATATAGACTCACTATAAGCGATATTATATATTTTACGTTAATATTAACGTGTTATTCCGTAATTTTACGTAAAAATATTGACTTACATCAACATCATAACGCATGGGACTCTTGAGAACATTGAAAAATAAATAATAATCATTTTCCTGTATTTATTGACACGTCGATAATATAATTTAAGTATCAATCGTCAAGTAATTAATCGTATTTAATCGAAAGCCTAATCCTCTCATTTTCAAATTATATACGTCCTTCTCGCACTACTTTACGTACATCGATTTTAGATGCCTCGGCCAAGGAGCTCCGTATGAGAAAAGGTTTGCGCGGGCCTAGAAAGTGTAGCGGATCGTATGAGGAATCCAAGGCAGGAAAGGCTATTGCGCTTCCAGCTTAGCGAATATCCTCGATCGCCCGCCATAGCGCGTGCGTGAGAAATCGCTCGGAAATCTGTCGTTATTTAGCTCTTGTTCGAGCAGGCGAGCACACGTGTGGGGGTGTGCTCGACTCAGTCGGGAATCAAACGGCTAACGGTCGAGCGGGCGTATTTTGAGAGCTCAAGGCTCGCTAAAGGAGAGGCTTAAGAAATCGGTAAGTTTGGGAGAATTTGGAGAATCGCCTCGGATACGCGTATTCCGCTAATTGATGGAAAGGCGCGCAAATTAAATCCTCCGCTCATGCATTTATTGCCATCAATGCCATCGTAGTCTCGCCTGCGATTTTTTAGTCTTGTGAAGAAACGCTACGCCTACTGCAATACGAAATGAGAACGATTTTTTATCTCGCTCGTATCCGAGTGATTTCACGAGTGATTGGGAGGGAACGCGTGACCTATAAATGCATATACGCGCGCGTGCGCGTTTTTACGCATTTAATAAGGCCGGTTTTTATTCTTGATTATACGTAATTTTTTTTTTTCTTTCATAATACGGGAGACAGTTTTTCAATGACGTTCTTGCAAGGCGCCAATAAAATCATTTGAAAATACCGAATTTTTATAGATAGTTTGACACTGTTTTGCACACCTCGCATATTTTATCATGCATAGTTTGTGGAATAGTTTGGTAAAAAGAAAAGAAAGCAAACAAAAGACCAAAAACAAAAATAGAGAGAGAGAGAGAGAGAGAGAGAGAGAGAAACGATAAAGATGCTAAGATTTCTATGAAAAGGAACGAGTTTGCGGTTTAAATATTAAAGCGCATTACAAATAACTTGCAGCAAAATAATAAAGAACATTTCACCTACCTTCAGACGAATAGTAAAATAATAATGATACAAATAAATAAATAACGAAAAAAGAAATTAAAGAAAAAGAATAAAGAACCTATCGAAAAATATGTCATTTCTAGCCAAAAAAAGAGGCTGATTTAGTCTTAGAGATGATTTAGCCTTCTGATGGAAATGCAATCCTGTTAATAAAAAAAAAAAAAAAAAAAAAAAAAAAAAAAAAATTTAAGATTGCCTTATGTATTTATTATATTAAGTGAAAGAAGATAAAACAGTGTCACTATATTAGTAAATATTAAAATAATACAATACCATAGACCTCCACCGAGCAATGTGCCAAACTAAAGCATTTAAGGATTAATCGATAATGTTTGTGTTGCTTGCTACACGCATGTGATAACGGTGCATAAATAAGGACTTAAAGACAATTGTCGTAATTGAATAGAGAAATAACCGAGTGGACGTTAGACGTGACGACGCAAATGGTATCGCGGAATCATCGGCAAGACGATCCCAAGAACCCGTAGAAGGAAGGGGATTTCGCGATGTTCCGCGCTACATCCCTCGGCAGTTTGTTCCGCGGAGGTACGCCGGATCTCATCTTCCCCTTTGTCATCGGCGTCAGTGAACGAGTCGTCGGGGGATTGTGTGGCGGCATAATCGCCGGGCCCCGGCGTGAGTTAACGCGCATTAATTTGCGTCTGGCGCGTTTCCCTTGAAGAGCGCGCGTCGGGACCCGCGCAAGGAGGCGTGATGAGACAGGTAGTAGTGCATCTTGAGCGCCGCCGTCGCTGCCGTCGTCGCCGTCGCCGCCGTTGCCGCCGCTGCTGCAGCTCGTGTCGAGCGGGTAAACGTGAGAGTGGCGAGAGAAAGAGAGATTGAGAGAGAGAGAGAGAGAGAGAGAGAGAGAGAGAGAGAGAGGGTCCCTCGTAAAATGGAAATCAATTACATCTACGCTTAACCACTTAAACTGGTTTCGCCACGGTCTCGCTAAAGGACCGAGCGAAAGCGCGCGCGCACCTCGCCGTGAAAGGGCCCGAAAGAGCTCTCACGCGCCGGGACCGGTGAGCACCGCTGGAGGCACTGCTCTCTTCCTTCCCTCTCTATCCCTCTATCTCATTCTATCATCTCTCTATCCGTCTCTCTCTCTTTCTCTCTCTCTCTCTCTCTCTCTCTCTCTCTCTCTCTCCCTCTCTCTTATACTCTCTTACACTCTCACTGCGGCGAGCCGCAGATCATTCGTATCAACATAATTACAAGCTCGGAAGCCGCCTCTCTGTTTCTCTCACCTCGCTCCACCCATCACAACATCACACACGCTCTATCCTACTCCCCTTCCAACGCCCCTCTCAACCCTCTCGCGAAACGATATTCTCTCTTACGTTCGCTCTCGTCGTCGCTGTCGGCTTTTTTTTTATACTCTTCCTCACTCGCCCGGCCACTCGGTTTCTCTCGTGCGCAGACAATCTCGTCGTCGCTCCCCCTCCCACCCTCGCGCTGTCGCTTCCCTCTCCCCACCATCTCTATTTCTCTCTCTCTCTCTCTCTCTCTCTCTCTCTCTCTCTCTGTGTCTTTCGCGGCTGTCGGCCCTTCTCTCTTCTGGAGCTTGAGAAACTGCGCGAAACAAGAAGTTGTAAAAGATGAGGTACTCGTCCGCGACTATCCATACATGTATGTGCGCATGTACGGGGCTTCGCGAATCGAATCACGCTTCGGCTACCACGAGCAGCCCTCCCCCAAACCCCTCAACGTCTCCTCCTTCCCCCTACCCCATTACGCCCCTCTTCGCCACAGTCATCCGTCGCCCTTGCCCATCAGCGAGCCCGGCCGCGCGTCTGATGTGCACCCGACGCAATTCTTCGCCAATGCTTTGAACCATGCCGGCATGTACGGGCATGTATTAT